TTTTTTTAAAAAAAATAAGTGCCACCAGGGGGCGCTCCTCTCTCTCTCTCTCTCTCTCTCTCTCTCTCTCTCTCTCTGTCTCCCTCTGTCTCTCTCCCCACTGCGCATGCTCCGCTACGATTGCCTACCTTAGGTGGACCGGTTGTGCTGCGCTTTGGGGGGGCGGGATTCGTGGGGACCCAGAGCCTCCTCGGGGGGGAGGAGCAGTCCCCTTCCCCCCCCCGAGACAGAGCCTGTCCGGCCGGTTCTCGCAGAGGGCGGGAAAAGTCCGTCTCGCCCTTCAAAGAAGCCGGAGGAGAGATGGAGGGACGCCGGAGGGGTTGCTGGACTGGGCAGGGGAGGGGGGACCCCCAGTCCTGCTCCTGCCTTTGCATGCAAGGGATCCGACATTAGGGGGGTGGGTGAGTGGGAGAGAAAGAAAGGAGGAGGGGGAGCCCAACCAAGTGCTCACATTGGGCGTAAACCAGATTTGCTTCGCAGCTTTCCGAGCGGGGAGGGGGCGGGGGACCCTGAAATTCCTGCCTGGCACTGCAAAGGGTCCCCATTTCTAGCTATTTTGGGGTTGGGAGGCATTGGAAAGGTCCGATTCTGTGCCTCAGGAATTCGTCGCTGGCCGGGTCTGTAAGACCCTCCATATTTTTCTTGCTGTCAGTGGAGCTCAGCTGCACTTCTGCAGAAGACCCCCCTCCAAAATGAGGGCTGGTCTCCAAGGGGAGCTGGGGTTGAGGCGGAGAGAGGAACAGACCTCAAAACACCTGGTTTTTGGCCGTCCCCCGCACTTCCAAAATGTCACTTTTTGGCCCTCGTTTTTTGATTAAACAGTCACTGATTCTGAAGGAGAACGGTCGGTAATTCCGGAAGATTCCGTGAAAGAAGAATGCTTGTAGCTCAGAGGGTTGACGTTTTCCTTTCTTTTCCTCCTCAGGTGTAAAAGCTGGAGGCCTCTTGAGAGAACTGAATGGCTTGAAAATCTCCTCTGGGGCCTCTCTTGTGTAACTCCTTCAGACTGTGGGACTGAAAAGACCTCCGCAGACCAGGAGATCCGCAGAGACCTTCTGGATCCCTGTCAGAGAAGAGGCCAAAATGGATGTAATCCACCCAGAATGGAAAGGCGTGGGGAAAGACCCCATTGCCGCTCAGCCTGGGAACTTTGTGGAGGTCTGGGTAGGACCTGGGCAGAAGATCCCAGAGGAGGAAGCTCTCAGTTCTGAGATCCAACGTTGGTACTTCAGGAACAGCCCCTTTCAGGAGGCCGAAGGACCGCGAGAGCTTTGCAGCCGCCTTCACCGTCTTTGCTGGGGGTGGTTGCAGCCCGAGAAGCACACCAAGGCTCAGATGTTGGACCGGGTGATCTTGGAGCAGTTTCTGGCCATCCTGCCCAGCGAGATGCAGCGCTGGGTGCGGGAGTGCCGAGCGGAGACCACTTGTCAGGCAGTGGCTCTGGCCGAAGGCTTCCTGCTAAATCAGGCGAAGGAGGAGGAGCAGGAAGGGTATCAGGTGGGAGACACCCTTCTTGGGGAAAAGAGATGGGTTTTAATTTGCTTGAACTCTAAATTGTCTGTTTAAGAGAGTTTGGGGTATTAATAACTTGCTCTGTACCCATGCTTCGCTATGAAACTATGTGATCGGGCTTAGTTTTGGGGGAGGAAAATAAAGGGAAAATTCTGCCTCTGCCTTCCAGCATCCATCAGTATTCATCTGGCTAGCGTCCTGTCAGTGTGTGAGAGAGTCAAGGGCTGTTTGGAAACTGAAGCAGTATTTGCTGTGTGAGCAAGGAAACAGCAAGGAGCCTGGGCGTGGCTTACCACAACTGTTCTGTACTAAAGCTGCTTGCTGCTGTGAAACTAAAACTGGAACTGGAATTCCTCTCCTCTGCTTTTGTTTTGTATTTGGAAGAGATTTCTTTTCAGGTGGGGAGGAGGAGTAGAACTCCTTAGCACCAGAGCGTGTTAATAATAATAATAATAATAATAATAATAATAATAATAATAATAATAATAATAATAATAA